CCAAGCATTCGATCGGGAGAAGTTGGCATCTCAAAATAAGGACAGCGGACTCTGTCACAGAGTGGGACAGAACCTGAAGGAAAAGAAGAAGACCCGACCATGCGCTTGTTCCACCTCGAAACTGTTCATTTTGAATGGTGAGGTTTCGCTGTATATAGGTACAAACGGTTAAAGGCAGTTGGCGGATGAATCCCCCAAGACGATTAGGAGCAATAGTGCTGGCGGGATAGAATTCCGCAAATAATGAAGCGAAGGGATTGGTGTGAAGCGGCCGTGATGCTGCATGCATATATGGGTACACATATGCAGCCGTATCTTCGGTAGCGGTGATTGGTAAGATGCCTACGGGAAACTCGTCCGAAATCGATTTACAAGTCACTGAGAACGGAGGCTTTTTCTTCGCAGGATTTTGACCGTTTCACTCCGTTCTTTCGCCATTTCCCCACTATACAGCGCCCTACTAGCATTTTAGGCTAAGTAGGAAACCATCGTGCCAACTGCCTTTAAGCATGAGGCTGAATAGGGACCATTCCAAGCTTATTTTTCTGTTTTTTTTTCTTCTTGCCATCTTATCATCAGTATTTGTGATCATCGAATGGACGGAGATGACAAAGCGATGCAAAGCTCTCCCGCTGGTTCAAGGCCGCGAAATCCGACTGTGAGGATCATACCATCTGCTTTACGGAACGGTTCTTCAATCGTATACGCTGCCTTCAGAATATTTACTGAGAGGCATCAAATGTTATCAAGGGAAGTTGAATGCACTACACATCACAGGGAAAATTCACCGACATCGCCGCTTTATGACTTCCTCGAAAACCAGGATAAGACTTCCGCTGAAATTGGTTATATTGCTGGTCAAGCTCATAACCAGTCGGATCGCCCGGCTAACGCCGAGCTCTCCTCCTTCTTTTAGCTCGGCTTCGCCGAGCTGGCCTGGCTTCGCCAGGCGCGCTCCATAATTTTAACGGAGCGTTTTCAATAGTGGGCTGCTCATACGGCGATGTAGTGATCGAATCGTAGCAGATAGAGCAAGGCTTGGGATCGTGCACTACTTAGCACAGGCTTCTATTTGCAGCAGGGGTGTGGTCCGCGCCATTACGCCCATACAATATAAATCTGTAGATATAGATACAATGTGTAGTCGGCCAATACAGGGCAGTTTGAATCGCTCAGTAAAAGAGCAGATTTCGTTTCCATTACCTGCACCGAAATGCCTACCGATGTACGTTTCCCTTTTCAATTAGCATGCAATCCGCTCGCTGAAGTATAACTATTAAAATGTATTATGAGCCCTTGTTATTCGTTCTAATCAGTAATTCAAAGTTTAGAAGTAAAAGGTGCAATTGAACGCATGAAGTGTCACATTCAGGTTTTTCGGTTTTCCTCGAGTTTCCCTGAGATCCCCCCCCCCCGCCGCTCGTCGACATCCGCATTATATAGTGGGATGAGTTCATTTTTTGGGCTCATAGAAAATGATGGCTAAAGGAAAATTTTGCACACTGAGCCTTCAATACTTGGCAGTATAATAAGAGATGTAATAAGAACGGCCCCTTATCTTTCTTATCAATTGATAAGATTGCCTGTCACCCGTCAACAATGTCCCTATCACTACTACTCTATAATTTGGTAGTGTAAAGGCTCCATCACTTTGACTGAGCAACAACGGCAACGTTCCTTATCAGCCCCTATCAGCTGTTATCACGTCCTGTCACCTGCCGTCGATGTCCCCATCCCCCACTCTACATCATTTTCTGAAATCAACGCCTAGCTGATGCTGTGTCCTGCGTTATGAGTATGGTGACCTTACCGTTCTAACTCCCCCTATCAAATCTTATCAGCAACCAGCGCTGCGTATATACTTTGGCGGGCAGCCGAGGCGTAGCGTAGCGTAGCGTAGCGCAGCGTAGCGTAGCGCTTCCAGCGTACGCCAGCGGCAGTGCCGAAGAGAGGATGCATATCGATCTAGCTTCACCAGCGTCACCAGCGGCACGCTGGCGTACGCTAGCGGCACGCTAGCGTACGCCAGCGTTTCTCCAGCGTTTCACCAGCGTTTTGCTAGCGTTTGCAGCGGCAGGGGAGTAGAGACTATGGGAGAGCTGGAGGGTACAAAACACATCGATTGCGCGTCTCTCACTCGCCCTTAGTCTCTACAATGCACATCGCTTCTGCGTGGGGCGTACTTCGACGGCTTAGTCCTCTAAGATGCACATCGCTTCTGCGTCTTCGACGGCCCCATAGTCTCTACAATGCACATCGCTTCTGCGTCTTCGACGGCCCCATAGTCTCTACAATACACGTCGATTCCGCGTCTCTGCCGGCCACATAGTCTCTACTCCCTGCCGCTGCAAACGCTAGCAAAACGCTGGTGAAACGCTGGAGAAACGCTGGCGTACGCTAGCGTGCCGCTAGCGTACGCTAGCGTGCCGCTGGTGACGCTGGTGAAGCTAGATCGATATGCATCCTCTCTTCGGCACTGCCGCTGGCGTACGCTGGAAGCGCTACGCTACGCTGCCGCAAAGTATAAACGCAGCCTAACCTTAAACACGTTCTAACTCCCGCCTAATCAAATCTTATCAGTCAACTATAACTCCTGCGCCCATGAAAATGCTCCTGTCCCAACCGCTTACACATCCATTGAATCGATTCCAACTGTTGCTGTGTCGCCCGCACCTATGGGCACTCGGTGACCCTTCCCTCAGACGCCTCTCATCGATCTTGAGTGGCAGCGATGAACCACTGCCTGTACCTCATCAATAGATCTCACTGTCCGGCACACCTATACTACGCTTGGATATCAACTTCCCCACTGTTGCTGTGCCCGACAGCTAATGGACTCGGTGACCCTTGCTTAGACGCCTCTTATACGGATATTCAGCTGAATTTCAACCCCTGTTCACCACACCATCGATGCCTTTCCCGTCACAGCCTCATATAACTTGCTCGGCATCACTTCCTATAGCTACATGGGACGGGCGGCTATTAAATTCGTGACAGGAAAGACGACGCAACTACACAGACACCACAACACATCCACACACACACACACACACACACACACACACACACACACACACACACACACACACACACACACACACACACACACACACACACACACACGCGACATAGCCGACTATATATTATTCAAGATGGAAGGAATTGGGTGTGGCCGAAGCCAAAATTCTGGAGGTTTCATGCTGATTAGGTTGATAAGGCAACTCCTAAGACCTCTTATGAATTCTTCTTCCGCATGTGATCGAAAGGAGACTAAGTGCCCACGATCGCTCTCACAAAACCGTTCAGCCTCTTCGAATGAGAACGAGCCAGGCTTGCCGAAAACCTTTAGCGATGGCACAATCTGAAGAGAACTGGCGTTGAAACAAGGCATTTGACCTGCAAATAGTTTTGCTGCTGCAGAATCTACTTGCCTACCTTTATCATTGTATCGTCGTCGTCGTTTAAAAGAATCCATTCTCCAGTCTGGGCTTTCTTAATCAGGTCACTGTCAATGGCAGGGAAGGCGGCTGTGCAAAGCGTTGGCAGAAGAAGGTAAAGAGAACGGTGAAACTTCGACATTGCAGCAATTCACCACAGCAGGAAAAATGATTGCCACTCCTTATCGTGCTTATATAATATTCCTTATCGCGTTGCTTATCATCTTCTCAGATAGCTTCACTTAGTCAGCTTTACCCAGCAAAACGTGTCTGGCTGTTACCAACTATGATAGCAAGATGCTGATAAGGATCAGAGCCACACTGAGGGATTTAATGAATCGTTAAAACCTTCTCTTGAACCCATCATTTGGTGGTGGCAGCTTGACACGGCGAAATTATCCCTAATGAAAGGTAGAAGGATCCCAACACGTTCGGAAACAAGGCCCTCTGACTTAATTACCCATGCAATCGTAGGTGACCAGCTGGAAAACGTGTAAATTTGTTTATAAACGAATCATATCGTACGGCAGGTGAAAGTACGTCATGAGGAACAATGTCGCATTGGTAAAACTACTCGCAAGAAAGGGTGTGGGTCGCTGCGGCTTTCCTCCAGCAAAAACAGATGTGAGCCCTTCGGTAAACCAGCCTTCTACTTGGTAAAAACGGGGGTAGCGGGAGAATCGCAGAAGCCTCATTTTCAGGGAGACTCTCTACGTGCTATGCGGCAAAACTAGGTAGCTTTTGAAGCAACAAATACTCTGTTGCTTCAGTTTTGCTCCGAACAAACCTTTAACATTCTCCAGGTTGGAAGCTATATCAATGTGGGATCGTGGTGAAGATCGAACGCACTACTTTCTGTTGTGTTCCTGAGTTCGCCGATGAACTGAACAATCCATAACTCGTGCACACTTTGGTGTTGTGCGGCGAATGAAACCGAGGGAAATGTGTGTGTGTGTGTGTGTGTGTGTGTGTGTGTGTGTGTGTGTGTGTGTGTGTGTGTGTGTGTGTGTGTGTGTGTGTGTGTGTGTGTGTGTGTGTGTGTGTGTGTGTGTGTGTGTGTGTGTGTGTGTGTGTGTGTGTGTGTGTGTGTGTGTAATCCGAAAAACCATAATTTTCTAGCCATACAGTGGCTGATAAGGGGTTGGACGAGAACGTTACCGGTTAAGTGATAACAATGGATAGGGGCTGATAAAAAGCTTCAGAAGGAGAGTTTCACCAAGTGCGTACCGTGCGGCACAGTGACACGGGAAGTTGGTTCTTCAAAGTGGTAAGGGGTGCGACGGCAATATCATTTGTGGGCGACAGAAAGTGGTAATAGTCGAGAAGATTAGATAAGGACCACCAGAAGGGGAGGGTCACAAAAATTACAGTGCTGGTCCCAGCAAAGGTACAGTATTGGTTACAAAATGTGACGCAGGCTATGGGACAGGGCACCATTGTTGTGGCAGGCGTGCTAAGAACTATAATTCGTGCACACTGGTGAATGAAATTGAGAAAAATTTCCCACAGTGCATTGCTGTGTCATGCCTGATGCGGGAGTCGCATGATAAAACTTACCTTCCTACTGAACATAATCGCTAAGTGGGTCTGTTGGTGCGTGTGTATGTGTTGTGTTTGACCATTTCAATAGAGACCAATGCGAACGATTGGAATTGGTAGATCTCATCGAAGGCTCCTGCGTCTTCTGCATCCATTGAGTACTACGCTCACTTGATAGGAGAGCTTTGAAACTTGTTGGTTTGGTTCCATAGGAAGTGTCCCCAGATGAAACACCAAGCTTTCTAGAGAGGCAGCGCTTCTCTGGACATCGCCATTTTGATTTGGACCCTGTAGTTTTAAGGAGCGGCCTAGATAAAATTGCAAATTGTGTTCCACGAAAGCCCTCACTCATTTCGACCAAACCCCACAGTGAAGCTGATTCCTTCATTCTATGAACAGTAACTTGTGTGGTCGGTTTGTGTATGATTTGTAGGTTGTAGGTATGTTGTTATAGTAATGTATGTATGTATGTATATCCGTCCGCAAAATACTTCACGGGTTCGAGTCCGCTGTAGGAGAAAACGACCGCTAGGCAAACCGGTAAACGTGGCAATCCAATGATTTGATTGTGATAACAGCCTCCGCTATATAAGACAACCATTCGGTACACTCCGAGCCATTGCACGAGCTGCTGGCGTGGCAGCTGGACGTGTGCTCGTGCGGGGGCATGGGTGGGGTGCCGGGTCACTCTGCCTCCCTGCCGGAGCTGAGCACATGTACGGAGGCAGAGGGGAAGGGGTCCCGGAAGGGGGTACAGGAAGGGTGCGTAGCGCGCGCTTGAGTAGAAACGAGCAGCAAAGGTGGAGGAAACAACCGGTAAGAAACCGCTAGCTAATCCATGTTACCGTTACGAACTGAAAAGTTGTTTGGTCATGATAACACTTTCCACTTTATAAGAGGACCACCACACTCCGAGCCATTGCACGGGTTGCTCGTGTGGTAGTTGCACGTGAGCGCGTGCAAGGGGCAAGATGGGGAAGGGAGTGGCGAGAACGGAAAGGGATGAGGTGAGGAAGGTGGGAGTGGGTACCGAGTGACCTCTTCTCCTATTCTCACTCCCTTGCGCGTGCTCAGTCGGATCTGAGCCCATGCAGGGGAAGGAGGCATATGGATTGAATCGGGCAAACTGGGTACAGTAAGGGGATGCGTAGCGTACGCTTGGAATAGGCAGGCGGCAAGAGAGAAGGAAAGAACCGCTAGCAAAACTGCAAGCTAATCCATGTTACAGCAACGAACTAAGAAGTTGTTTGGATTGTGAATCGCTCCCGCTATCTAAGCCAACCACTGTGATATACTCTGTGCTATTGCAGGAGCTGCTTGCTTGGGAGCTCGACGTGAGCACGAGCAAGGCGGTGGTAAGAACAGTGGCGGCGTAGTGCCCCCATGTTGCACCAGCTGCTCACGTGGCGGCTGCATCCACGTGCGGGAGTGGGCGCGGTTAAAATGGGGTCAGTGAGATATTAGGTTGTCCGGAAAGTTCTCAGCGTTGTGGGGCAGCATGATTTTTTGTCTTACTGCTGATTGAAAACTCATTCTGTCTTGCTTCTCAGTAGCACATCCTGTAGAGAATTTCTTGCGCTATCTGATGGTATAATTGCCGTTTCACCATTGCTTGATAAACCCTCTTTTTTCAAGATTTTTTCAAGCATGTGAAAAGAGCACTTCCGGACAATTTTTTTCTTCGACTATAAAATTGGGGGCAATCCGCATCGAAACAGCTCGAAGCGAATTCGAACCCGACAGCGTGTGGGGGCCGCACATAGTGGTAGAAGAAAGCACTGGTGCGGTGCAATGGCTCAAGAAATTTGTTGCATAACAAGATTTTAGCCTTGAAGATGAACCTCATAGCGGTCGACGTAAGCATATCTGTAACGAGATTTAGGGGATTTTTGGAGCTGACTCATCCCAATACAGCTGAGGAGATCAGGCAGAAGCTAGGCCTGCAATCCACTGTTGCAGATGGTTTGGAACGCATTGGGAAGGTGAAAAAACTCGACAATTGGGTGCCCCACAATCGGAGTGACCGGCAGGAATCGGCACGTCTCGAGGTTCCTTCTGCATTGCTTTTGCGCAGCAGAAACGACCTGTTTTTGGGCCGAATTGTCACCTGTGATGAAAAAATGGGTCATGTATGATAACAGGAGACGTTCCGGACAGTGGTTGGATTTCGACGAACCACCGAGGTAATTTTCAAAGCCGAACCCTCACGAAAAAAGATTCTGGTCACGGCTTGGTGGTCATCGGCTGGTGTGATCCACTATAACTTTTTAATCACCCAGGATAACGCATCAAGCGAACGCCTCTACTTGTGAAGGAATCGACGAATGTACCGAAAATTTTGCCAGATGCAGCCTACATTTATCAAAAGAAAGGTCCGATTCTTTTGCATGACAACGCCCGCCCACACGTTTCACAAATCACTATCCATAAATTGAACGAATTGGGGGTTGAAGTTCTACCTCAACCGCCATAGTTCTCAGACTTTCGTCAACAGACTATACTTTTCTAACCATTTTGAGAGACTCCCTTGCTGGAAATAATTTTACATCAATTAGGACCAGGCAAAAAGACCTTCGAGATTTCGTGGATTCTCGACCACCCAGTTTTTTCTTTGATGGGATTTCTTCGACTGCTGTCACATTGGCAAAAGTGTGCTGATTCGAATGGTGCCTATTTCGATTAAATCCGATGAGTATTAAAAAAGTTACGATCGTTTAAAGTGAAACACCCAAAACGCTGAGAACTTTCCGGACAACCTTAAATACAATGTGGTGAGGGGATACCAGATGAGAACGGCGATTTCGCGATTAGGAGCACATAGCGCCTGCGGCGGTAAGGCGTCTACGGTTGCGATAAGATGAGAAGAAAAGATCGACCGCAATCGGAACTGAACCGATTATTGCATCATCAAACTGTGGTAGCGTTATGATAGCCATAACACCCTTCACAACATAGAAAACATGCAAGTCCAATTTCAGTGCCCTCAGAATGATTGCACGGCTATTCGCGTAGCAGCTGAAAGCGTGACCTGTAGGGTGGCTGAGCGGGGAATAGCTGAGGTTAGTTTGGGGATAGGTGAGGTGAAGGGGTACCATATTGGCGCGACCGACGCTCGCCTGAACAGGAGCACGCAGCGACTGCGGAGACCGAAGCATCCATGGCTGTCACAAGATGGGGACGGGAGTGAACGATTATCCATGACCATATTCTGACCTTTTCATTATGAAAGTGCCCTGCGATCATATGGCGCGTTTCTACATTTATTTGATTAGAAGACAGCGGTCAGTCACTATGAGAGCACCATCCTACTATATATAATCCGCTAAGTGTGTCTGTGTGTGTGTGTGTGTGTGTCACGAAATTCATAACACCTGTCCCAGCGGCAGAGAAACGTTGATTCCAGGAAGTGATGGAGGGGGTGTGACGGGAACACCATTGGTGGGTGACAGGATGTGATATCAGTTGATAAGATTCGATAAGAGGCGTCCAAAGGGGATGGTCACCCAGTCCATAGTGCGGGCCACAGCAGCAGTGGGACGTTGGTTCCGAGCAGTGAAATAGGGGTGGGACGAAAACATTATTGGTAGGTGACAGGATGTGATA